TACAGTTGCAGTTCTTCTACACAGCAAATGCTACATTTATATAAAACTTGGAAAATAACAACACCACCAGGGCATGGTGGGATATACTTGCAGTCCCAGCACTTTGAAGGCTGGGACAGAACAATGAGGAGTTCAAAGCTACTCTAGAGTTAGAGGCTAGCCGGGGCTACATGAGATTTGATCTCAAAACCAAAACTCCAAACTGCTCTCCCCTCAAAAAAGGACAGAAAGAAAAGAACATCACCAGTAATAAATGTCAGGTGAGTGTCATTCCTTAAAAACACAGGTTGTGTTGGTGATCAGAGACTTATCCCAAAGATTCTACTGTCAGCTACTCCCTTCCTGGTGATACTCCTTTGAAGTTCCTTCAAAGCCAGTTTTCAGACTACTGAAAGAAGTTAGGCTCACCAGTTCAATGGCATTTACTGTTTCACACCACAGGTGACAGTATCCAACTTTTCAAGCCATTCTCTTCATCAGATTTAACCACAAACAACTTGAGTTTGTCTTTTTAAAAATTAAGCCTCATTTCAATGGAAAAGATTTGTCTCTTCATAATATTCAGAAGAAATTTCTGGAACTTTTTAAGTTGTCTCCAAATGGGAAAGTTCAAAAACTGTTGTAAGTCCAGCAGTGCTATTAAGTCTGTGACTTTGGGGGAAAACATCTGCTGTCCTAGACAGGTTGGCAAATAAGTTAAATGCAATAGAGTTAGGGTATGGATATTAGTTTTGTGCCCAAAGTCTAGAGCTATAGTAAGTGGGCTACAGTCCTTCCTTTAGCACTTACTAGCTACATAATTTTGAACAAGTTGCTTAATCTCTCCATGACTTAGTTTCTTTGTTTTTAATGGATATAATAATGGAGTATGCCAATGATTCTATATTGGTGTCTAATACAGGGTATGTGCTGTTTGAGTTCTATTGTTTATGTACTATATTAAGTATTTGGTACAAAGTAAGTTAATTATCACTTAATAATAAAGCCTTTAATTGCAAACATAGCAGACAAGGTCCAATATAAGACAGATGCAGACATATTCTTAAGGTTGTCATCACCAATATGTTCTTATGTAGGAAAAGTAATTTGGAGTGGTTATTAATATCAAAATGAAAATTGTAAGGCTGAGGAGATGGCTCATTGGGTAAAAGTGTTTGCCCAGAAAACTGGAGTTTGATCCCAGATCCTGTAGTAGAAGGGGAGAGTTAACTCCTGAAAGTTGTTCTCTGCTTACACATGCACACACACACACCTGCATATATACACATTAGTAATAATAAATAAAGGTTGTGAGTCTGCAGATTCTCTGCCTAGATGTTTCACTTCATGTTACATCCTGGGAACACATACTGAAGTGGAGATGCCTAACAGACTATCATAACAGTAATCACTTGAAACATCTGTGGCACCTGGGGAAAGGTCTTATCTAACCCATGCCTCTGTACCTTGACTGACAGGAACACAATCCTTAGGTAGTACAGTCCTTTATCAGGAAGGTTTGATTGCTAAGAAGTCTTTTTTTTCGGGGGGGGGGGGGGGGGGGAGGAGGGGGAGATTTCTTTTTACTTTTTTTTTGTGTGTGTGTATGTATGTATGATTGCCGTGTGTGTGTGTGTGTGTGTGTGTGTGTGTGTGTGTGTGTGTGTGTGTGTCTCGGGGGTGCCCAGGGAAATCAGAAGAGGGCATCAGATCCCATGGAGCTTGAGTTTCAGGCAGTTGTAAGCTGCCCAGTGTGGGTGCTGGGTACTGAACCCGTGTCCTCTTCAGGAGCAGCAAGCTCTCTTAACCACTGGGCTGTCTATCACTCTGACACCTGAGAGGTCTTCCTGGGACCTTCATCTCTCACTTTTTTTCTCTTGGAACACAGTGGCAGGTCCTGCTTCTTTGGAGGGCATATGTCTGCAGGGCATTCTGTTTTCATGGGAAACAGTCTCAGTTCCCAGATTACTTTCCCCATACCTGACAAAACATTTATTTTGACTGACTGACTGAGGGGCTGTCCACAGTGGTGGGAGGGCATGGCGGCAGAACAAAGCAGCTCATCACTTTTTGTCCATGGTCAGGAAGCAGAGAGAGAGAAATGTTGGTGGCACTCAGCTTATTTTCCCCTTTTAGTCTTTGTTTTAAAAGTATTTTCATTAGCTGGGCGGTGGTGGTGCACACCCTTAATCCCAGCACTTAGGAGGCAGAGGCAAGCAGATCTCTCTGAGTTTGAGGCCAGTCTGCTCTACAAAGCAAGTTACAGGACAGCCAGGACTGATAACACAGAGAAACCCTGTCTTTAGAAAACAAAATGAAAACATTATTTATGTATATGTATGTGCTATAAACTAAGCCTTCCCTGTTCTAAAATGAAAGAAGACACTGTACTTAAAGAAAGATTTACAAATCTCAAATTAGAGAAAATTCAGATAATATGCTTCTGCTGAGATGGAGGTTTTGAAAGCTAACGGCAAATACCAATAAGAAAGGTAGATGTTGTGGTCATATGCAAACCTAAATGAAGTCTTCACATAAAGTTGCTCATTAAATGCTTCAATTTTGAAAATTTTTTCACTTGTCTTCCTGGCAGATCATGTCTGTCACTAATGAGGGCAACTCGTCTTCTGGACTTAATTCTCATAACAGGGACTAACTTGTCAAAGCAACAGTACTACCTCAAGATTGCCATAAGAAAAGCTTTGATTAAGTAGCTGAAACAGAGTGATAGGACTCATGCAGGCTGCACACGCTTCAGGTTCAGTCTTCATGTGGACCATGACAATGGACACAAGTGCAACAATCTGAGTAGTATGAACACATACTCATGTCACAATGAAATAGCTTACTGACTGTATCTAGACACTCTAACATTAACTACATATCACAAGGAAACAAAGCTATAAGAATTAGCAGACAGTAGCTTGTAGCTAAACTCTAATAGCATATGTACAGTTGCTAAAACTGCCATTGTAGCATAGGATGTATTTGTGCATGTGTGGTTTGTGTGTATGCACATGTACTGTGAAGGACAGGGGTTAATCTAGAGTGTCTTCTTCTATTTCTCTCTATCATACTTCCGTGAAACAGAGTCTCTCACTGAACCTGGGGCTTGCTAATTGGCTGCATTAGTTCGCCATGCTTGGGATCTGCATCTACCACCCCTTCCCCAACTCCTAACATTGGGGCTACAGAGGCATACTTGGCTTCTGATGGGGATCCAGACTCAAGTCCTCACAGTTGAGCAACAAGCCATGTCCTCAGCCCCATATATCAGATAAGTTTTAAAAACAAACAAAAATACCTGAACTAAGATAATGCTTTTGTAAATAATTATTTTAAAATATCAAGCTCAACATGGTGTTGAATGCATGTGACACCCAGTACTAGGAAGGCTAAGGCAGGAGAAGTTTGAGGATAGCCTGGGATACAAATGAAATCTTGTCTCAACAAACCCAAGGGTTTGTGGCTCAGTTGGTAGAGTGCTTGCCTAGCATGAAGGAGGCCTTGAGTTCTATCCCCAACACTGCATAAATTGGGTGCAGTAGCGGTGAACTCCTATAATCCCAGCACTTGGGAGGTAGAGGCAGGAAGATTAGAATTCAAAGTCATCTTTGGCTACATACTGAGTAGAGGGCCAGTCTGGGGCACAGGAATCCTGTCTCAACAAACAAGGGGAATAGTTAGCTTAATTTCTTTAAAAAGTTATACTTGCTTAGGCCACAAATAAATTACATTTTTATCCTGTTCTAGGTCTACATATCCTCTCTTCATACTCCTCACTAGATAATTTAGACTCATTAAAGGAAGACTCATTGGTACACAATAAAACTAGAAAATAGTAACCATTGCAGTTAACCACCTCCCAAAGGAAAGTCTATATACATATAATCTAGTACTGAGCTAAAGTCCTAGCTCTGTGTGTATGTGATATGTTTTGTGGATATGTGCATGTGTGTGAGCAGGTACCAGCATACATGTGTATACATATGTGCTTACCACCTTCTTTCTTTTAAGACAGTATCTCACTATGCAGCCCAGGCTGGCCTGAAGCTCATTATATAAACCAGATTAGCCTTGAACTCACAGAGATCCATCTGCATCTGCCTCCCTAGTGCTGAGATTAAAGGCAAGTGCCATCACAGCCAGCCCCACTACACTGAGGCAAGGTTTCTAACTGAACCTATAACTCACTGATTAACTAAAGCTTGATAGACAATAGGCTTTAAAAACTCTGATCTGCTCCCCCATCTCCAAACCTTGGAGATAGCACTGGATTTTATTTACATTGATGTTGGGGATCCAAAGTCAGGTTTCTGAGCTTGCACAGCAGGCACCTTACCACGTGAGCTATCTCCCCAATACCCAATACCCTTTTGGTTTTTGAGACAAGATTTCTCTCTATAGTCTCCAGATGACCAGGAGCTATGTAGTCTAGGCTGGCCTTATACATTGTTTCCCAAGGGCTGGGGATTATAGCTGTGTGCCATCACACTCAGCAAACCTACACTTTATATTTTATTTCTGAGGAGCAAGCAATGTTTTATTGAGGACTGTCTTTCCACAATTTAAATAATTCTTAAGTAATCTTTCCTTAATTTAAATAGTTCTTAAGTTGCCACATTATTATCCCTCAGAGCAGTATCCACTTAAGTGAAAAGCAATGGTTGAACGACTTGCTGGCAAATTCTAACTCACCATACTTAGAATACTGACTTGAACTGAAAGAATCACCAGTGTATGCATGTTATTTAAATCACTTAAGTGACCAGAAAACCAGTTTTGTTTGACCTAGAAGCTGTTCTGTGTTCAGTTTAGTGGCTTCTAGCCTCAAGGACCTTTAATTTAGGTTTGCTCTTGAGAATTAAACAACAGAACTCATAAAATAAGTACCATTAAAATGTATAATTGATCTAGAGGCTTAGAAGCCAACCAAGACAAGTGAGGCAGGAAGAGGTAACAGACCAGAGCTGTTCTGTTCTACTTTCACAACAGCAGAAGCGGGGACCCCAGCCAGTCACTTAATAAAGGTTGGTCTTCTTCATGATCTTAAGAAACTCTTCCTCGTTCACTTCTCCATCGCCATCACGATCAGCTTCATCGATCATCTCCTGCAGCTCCTCATCTGTGAGGCTTTCCCCCAGCTCGTTGGCCACACGCTTGAGGTTTTTGAACGAGATTTTCCCGGTTTCATCATCATCAAACAACCTGAAAGCCTTCAGAATTTCTTCTTTGGTATCTTTCTCGGCCATCTTCTGAGTCATCACAGCCAAGAAGTCATTGAAGCTGATCTTCCCTGTGGCCTCTTTGTCTACTTCCGAAATCATTTTCTTCATCTCTTCCTTCCTGGGTTCAAAGCCTAGAGCTCTCATGGCCACCTTCAACTCCTTCACATCAATGGTCCCGCTCCCATCAGAATCAAAGAGGTCAAAGGCTTCCCGAACTTCTTGCTTTTGGTCTTCGGTGAGTTCAGGCTTAGGACCCACCTTTCTCTTGTAGCTGGTGGAGGCTACATTTGACTTCCTCAAGTTGGACGCCATCTTCCATCACAGTTGGGTCCTTAACGGCACCCTGCCACCACGTGTGCTAGGTGCCCCTGCTATTGCGCCTGCGCCAGTCCCTATGTGCCTAGTGTCTGGACCACAGAGCCCTGCCCCATCAGTGAGATCTTATTTACATTATAATCCACAGTTTCCTCAGTTGATACCACAAGTTGATACCTGCTGGCAAGAACCTTGCTGCAGCTCTTGTTGTCTCTGCAGTTTTTCGGCACACGCAGTTCTCTCCAAGCCACTGGTTTGCATCTGCAGCGCCTTGTGTATATTTATTTAAAAGCCCCCTGCTCCTTTTCCATACTAGTTAAAAGAACTTCCTTAGTCTGGGGCTACCCAAGGACAAAGGTAGGGTAATCAAGATTGAGTTTGATCACTTGGTATTAAATTCAAAAAAGAAGGAAGGAATACCCAGGTTACACCCTGTGTTCTGCTAGATATAACTAGAAAATAGGTAAGACAGAAGTGATCATGTATAAAATTTAAGGAAGTTTGTATCCTGCTTATGTTTAACCATAGTAAAAGTTTTCTGTAAGTTTCTCAAATATGAAATGTAATATCTATTATGATTCACTTCTGAGTACCCAGGTTTAAAGTACTTGAAGTAATGTTTGACTTGAACAGATGAGGGGTGAAGTATTGCATTCTGGTATTCTGGCATGTATTTTAGAAACCCTAGCAGTATGTTTACTCTCACTGCTTATCATACACTCAGAGCTGTACAGAAACCCACACTCTGGTAGTAAAAGCCACTAAGAAGGAAGGTAGCTTTAGGGGTAAACTGTCTTTATAAAGGAGAAATCTACTTCCCCTTTAAAAGACCATGAGTGCACTTTCAAAGTTGTTCTTCCTTTTAGGTCCACTAAGAAACCTCTAAGCAAACAGTCAAGGTTGCCTAAAGGTAACTTTGCTCTTAAAATCCTAAACACAAATGCCTGTAAGTTTCATGCCTACCATCTTTCCTTTTAAGCCTGTGATACATGACCTTAAATTGAACATGTCCAGTGATAGACACCTTTCACCAAGCAAGCTCAGAAGTGCCTCCAATATGTCCTTTCTTGTATGAGTATGTGTAGGCTTCTGAAATAAAACTCCCACACTTTATTGGGGAGAGCGTTGTTTTATAGATAATGCCAGTGCTCTCCTTAGGTGCTGCAAGTAATAAATCTTCCTGCACACTTTCATTTGGTCATGCTGGTTGATTTCACATTCATCTAGAGGAGAACTCATTGTATTCAGTTACTGTGGTCCCTCTTTGATTGTGAACATGGGAGTTGATTATGCATCACATGTGAGGACCTAAAATTGTCTTTTGGAACCAAAGAAACAAGAGAAAAATGAAAGCTTTTCAGATGGGAAAAAAAAGAAAAGAAAAAAGTTACTAAGTGAGCAAATATAGGTAGCCAACTTTTAATTTTTAGCATTCTTTGTGCCCCCTGCAAAAATCTGTATTTACCAGTATTTATTCTGTGCAACAGATGACACTTGGGAGAGTTTTTGTTGCAAAGCTTCTGTATCCCAGGCACCCAGAACAGTGCTTGACACATTGAAGGAATATTGGTATCCATTGATTTAATGATTGACAGTTAATATTGGTCCTAAAATACCTTCTAAGCCATCAAAAGAAAAGGGGGAAGGATTCAAAAGATCCAATAATACTAGGAGTATTTTACAAACTGTATTTTGTTTCATTTTTAAGTTGTGATCCAATACTGATTATATGGAGTGTTTGGAAATTTTGTTTAGTTATTTGGTTTTCCTGGAATCAAATCCAGGGTTGCACCTATGCTATGAAAGTGCTATCCACTGAACTTCATGGCCTGTTTAATTGACCTGCCCCAGTGACAGTGAACAGAGGGCTTAGGTATAGGGTTTTGAAGGCAAAAGAAGCTTGTATGGCCCCTCCCCTCTCCTGTTCTTGCACTTATTGCATCTTCTTCCAATACTACATCTTATTATCTTTATGGTTTGGGGAAATCAACTCACCCTCAACCCCAGGGACACACACACACCCTCTCATTTGAAGCTCCATACTGAAATTCCCTAATGCATTTTCAATTAAAAAAAAAAAGCTCCAGGGACAGTTCTCTAACGGGATCATACAGTACTGGGTACCAGCCAGTCAGACCTCAGTTCCTCCCAGACTTGCATTTCCTTTGACAGTCACCCCTCTGCCCCAATTCAAAACAAGCTATGATGTGTTGAGGAAAACTAAAGGCTAGAAGTTGCCTTATATAGAGCAATATTGGGGCCAAGTTGAACTCAAAGCAAACTGGTTGTCATAGTTTCCAGATGTGTACAATCAGCAGTCACAACAAAAGGCCACCAAGTACTCTCTTTATAGAAAACAGTGCCCTTGAAGTCAGTTCTTGATGAACATTCTATGTTCATGGTCTCAACCCTGACTTGAAAAGGAGACATTAATTATGTGCCTAGTGTTGAGTCTGGGCCTCCCATTGTTGCCTCATGTAATCCCTGCATTCCTTCCCCATCTTGTAGATGGAAACAACAAAAAAGCAAGGCATAGAAGAGATCTGCAATGCATATTTAGTAGTATACAGCCAACAAATGTATTTGAGATTACACCTTGGGCTTATCTGAGCCCAACACTTAGACATTGCTCCTTACACCATGCTGCCTTCACCCAGAATTGAGATTATTAGTAAAACATAGCATGGCTGAAAAGATAGGCTGCTGATCATCTTCTATGCACCTAACAGTACATAGAAGTAAGCAACTTCCCTAGAAAGATTCAACAGGAATTTGTGTCATTTGTCTGAATCTGGGGCACTTTCCTAGCAGCTAAGTGAGGAAGGCACCTCCAGGGACAAACTTAAGAATGTACTGGGGCAGGGTGGGGGCACTGCGGATTCTTTAAAAGACTGTTAGCTGGGCTGGGCATGTGGTGAATGCCTGTAATCCCAGCGTTTTGGAAGCTAAGGCAAGAGAATCAGGAGTTTGGGACCAGCCTGAGCTACATAAAAATAATTCTCTCTACTCCATCCTCCAAATCCTTAATGTACCTTCAAAGTTGTTGTTATTTTTGTTTCAACTAGAACTCATTGGAGAAATTTTATGAGGAAGCAGCAGAGGCCACCAAGTCATTCTGACTCATTATTTTAGGTGACCTGGGGTAAACTTTGCTCATTATAATATGAAGTTCTCTACCCAGAAGTATTAGCTTCTGCTTATTTCTTTTCTTGAATATGTGATACATGGCCAGAGTGGAGCATGCTCAAAAATATACATCTAAACTGAGAAAGCCTGCATGTATGTATGTTCATCACATGCAAACCTGGTGCCCCTGAAGGGTGTCAGATCCCTTGGAAAGTGGAGTTACAGATACCTGTGAGTCAACATGTGGGTACTAGGAACTGAACCTGGTTGCAAAAGCAAATGCTATTTACAACTCAGGTATGTCTCCAGAAATGTGCTTTCTTACATGAACATTATGAAGTAAAGTTCCCTGAAAAAAATGCCATACCTGCATTGTTAAAGATTCTACACAGCTGGTTGTCTGATTGGAACTTTGTGTTTGTAGAGAGTTGGAATATAGCAGATATAGGGCTGAAGTATCTTGGGCTTTTTTAGTATCTATTCTCATTTCATATCTGTTGCTGTGATAAAATACCCTGACAAAAAACAAGTTGGGGAGAAAGGTTTTAGCTCCTAATTCCAGGTTACAGTCCACAATTTTAAGGAGGTTAAGGCTTAGGAATGTGAAACAGCTAGTCACATTCACAGCCAAAAGAAGAGAGAGGATGAATACATGCATGCTTACTAGTACTCAGTTTGCTTTCTCTACTCTCATACAGTGCAGGATACACAGTCAGGAAACGGCTGCTGCCCACAATGGCCAAGTCTTTCTACCTCAAATGGTGTATTAGACAATCCCCCACATGTCTGGACTCCTACCTTATCTAGACAACTCCTCCTTGAGACTCTCTGCCTAGGTGGCTCTAGATTGTGCCAAGCTGACAAAACTAAGCATCACAATACCCTTAATAGCCAATCTTTGTCCACCTTTGTGACTATCAGCTAAAACCTTCTGGGATGCATTAAAAGACAGTTTTAAACTTCTACCAACCCAAAAGCTAAAAGTGACATCCAAAGCCTATATCCAGATAGTTCCCTGCTTCACTGTCTACCTGCTTCCATCTGAAATAATTTGAGAAATAACTTTTTTTCTGACTTTGTTTTGTTCTATAACTATAGAAGCTTCATGAAATCCTTTCCATACTAAAACATATCCTTTAGAACAATTTAAATTCATGCATGTGCCATGATCACCCGTTTCTTGCTCAATTATCAATTCTTACTCCCTTTGAGGAGAGAGCTGTGTTTTTGTATGTATGATATGAATAAGTTTTCCTGTAAAAATCCCCTCTCAATCTTCATTTAAGGATAGAATGCTTTCCAGAAAATCTCACTGCTGCCAGTAAGAGATGTCTCTCCACTCTTTTATATCCTGGTTGTTGTTGTTGTTGTTGTTGATGTTGTTTTTGGCTTTATACTCACCAAGATGCAAGCCCATTGGGTTCAGTTGAACAATCACTAGAAGAAAGCTGTCTTAGTCAGGATTTCTATTGCTGGATGAAACATCTAACCAAAAAGCAAGTTTGGGGAGGAAAGAATGTATTTGCCTTATACTTCCACATTGTATTCCATCATTGAAGGAAGTCAGGACAGAAACTTAAACAGGGTAGGAGCCTGGAGGCAGGAGCTGATGCAGAAGCCACCAAGGGGTACTACTTACTGGTGTGATCCCCATAGTATGCTCAGCCTGCTCTCTTATAGAACCCAGAACCACCAGTCCAGGGATGGCACTACCCAAAATGGTCTGAGCCCTCTCACATGATCACTAATTTTAAAAGTGCCTTACAGCTGGGTCTTATGGAAGCATCTTCTCAATTGAGGTTCCCTTCTTTCAGATAACTCTAGCTTATGTCAAGTTGACATAAAACTAGACAGGACAAGTCCCCATATGT